AATTTGTATCTTTACTCCCCAATATCTTGTGTTCCGCAAAACAGGGTCCCACAATTTTGCGTTCAAAAGTGGGGGTGATGTTGTAACTTATTGATCAATACCTGGCTCATAGGTGAGTAATGAGTGCTCACGTATAATACAGTGGTTTGCTTTCAATTTGTTGTTGACAGTGTGAAAATGCTTTGGTTTGGTAAAAAGAAAATGCAGTCAAGAGTTCAAAGGTAAAACTTTCTGTATATGTACACTGATTTGAAGAAAATAGTATTTTGATCTTGGTTGTTGGTATGAAAAGACGAAGGGGAAGGGGAAATACAACACTTAGGTTTAAAAAAATATCACCTAATTTTTTATTGCTTTAAATAATTCACGTACACAGTTTACATCCCTGTAATGTACTACAATTCAACAGGAAACAAGATTAAGAGATGAAATTCATACAAGAAAAACATTTGCCATCTAAACTTAAATTAACAATTAATCAGTCAACATGGCACACTGCTAATGCAGAAACCAATAAATTATATAAACACATAACATTCAACCTAAACTTCAATATATATACACACTCACACACATCTTTGGAATTTAAGAAATACTGCGACTAATAATCGTGTTCACAGAGAAATATACACCAGAATCTCACTTACACTAAAGTCTTTATCACACTAATGACTCAGTTGACTTAGTCGACCTCCTCGACGGTGGGGCCGTTGTGCCTGCCAGCCTGCTGCCCGCAGCCCTGGGGTGCCTGGGGCTGTGACGCGCCCGGGCCGCCCGAGTGCAGGCGCACCATGACCTCTTGCACCTTCTGCTGCAGCTCCTTGAGGCGGTGCTCGTACTCCTCCTTGTCGGCCAGGGTGTTGCTGTCCAGCCAGCGCAGCGTCGCCTCGCACTCCTCGCGCGCCCTGGTCTTGTCCTGCTCCGGGAGCTTGTCGCCGGCCTCGTCGATGGCCTGCTTGATGCTGAACACGTAGCCCTCCAGCTGGTTGCGCGCTGCGACGCGGTCGCGCTGCTGGTCGTCCTCGGCCTTGTACCGCTCCGCCTCGTCCACCATG